TGATTTACAGACCATACCTTAGCAGCGCCTGACACACTGTTGATGCCTAAGACATTTCTTGGTCTCATGTATCGGCTGCACCTCTGTATCTGTCCACTTTTAATTTTTATAACTGACTCAATTTCTACTCTTTCTCTCTTGTTATCTGGTTGAATTTATTGTTTATATTTGTTTTCTGTGTTTTGAGGATAAAGTCATGTAACGTACTGTAAAACAGCATTATGCAGATTTGTACCAGAAGTTAACTGAGTCTCTTTCCTCAGTCAGTTCCAAGCTGCTGCTTTGCTGCTACTATAACCCTGATTTTCTAACCATGACATCGTTTGAAAACTTCACCAAACACATCAGTTAAAGACAAAGACTGAGCTGTGTCTTCAGCTGTATTTGCTGTAACATGATCACTCACAGAGAAAGTTAGAAGAAACACAAAGTCCCTGAATCTAGCAACAAAGTCTCTAAGTCTATCAGTTGTAAACGCCCTCTAATAGAAACTGTTTGAGCCAATTCATTTTGAAATAGCAACGGCCAATTAGGAACTCCAACATCCAGCTGGCCAATGATGATGTAAGTTCATGACTCCAGTCACGTGGCTTTCAGGTGACAAATGGTGTAGTCAGTCACTCAGTCAATCGGTGACATTGGTGTTTACAGGGCCCTGCTGTTGCTGTCTAGCCAATAACTGAGAGTGAATGTGGTCATTAGTGTATGAATTCAATCAGTGTGAATTATAAATTTATAATCGGGGTCAACTTTTTCTACACGGTGAAAGGGAATCCTGTTTCAGCACAGGCATATGTTTCAGTGAACTGAAGTGTTACAGAACTTACAATGTCGTCTTTAACTAAAACTGTCGAGTGGAAAGTAGAATAAAATGGAAATACTAAGGTACAATTACCTCAAAATTGTACTTAGGTACAGTTAGGGTTGCCACCATTTATGTGAAAAAACAAGGGATGGTGATGTGACGTAGATCATATATGACATTTTATATTGGTAATGGAATGGCATCAACTAGCTAATATTAGTATTAGTAGTATTCAGAAACTCAGAAGGTAAGAAAGTAAAATGTATTAAATAAGCTAGATAGTTAACTACTGCTAATTATATTTATAGTGTCTGTGCAATCACTGGTAAGTGTTTTAACCCCCCAAATTGTTGTTCTTACCTCTAAGTCTTAATCAGGGGGGGTCAGTTGATTCAATCAAGCCAGAATTGATATTTAAACATTAGAGTGAGTGAAGGTAATAGATGTTCTTATAGTCAATGTATCATCAATTGATTTCTGTCAGATGAAAGTCAGCAGTCATACTAAAGAAGCAGCAGGCTGAGATATCCTGACTTTTAATAATAATAATAATAATAATACATTTTATTTAAAGGCGCCTTTCTTGGCACTCAAGGACACTGTACACAGTTACACAAATTGAGATTAAAACACATTAAGAATTAATTAATTAATTAACAACAATAAAAATGAAATATAAAAATAAAAACAATACAAAAGTGACAGAGCAATTGGCATCAGATGGAAAAGGCAGTTTTAAACAGATGTGTTTTGAGTTGTGATTTGAAATGGGGGAATGAATCGATATTTCTGAGTTGGGGCGGTAGTGGATTCCAGAGACGGGGAGCAGAGCGGCTGAATGCTCTACTCCCCATGGTGGTGAGACGGGCGGAGGGGACAGACAGGTGTGTGGAGGAAGATGATCTGAGGGAGCGGGAGGGAGTGGGAACATGAAGGAGGTCGGACAGATATGGGGGGGCGAGGTTGTGGATGGCCTTGAATGTTAATAGAAGGACTTTGAAATGAATACGGAACTGAACCGGTAGCCAGTGGAGCTGTTGGAGGACAGGAGTGATGTTTTAGTCCCTAGTAGTGGGCAAACTCCAAAATAACTGGATCCTACATTTCCCATAATGCAACCACTAACAGCAACTTCTTCATTAGGTCTACCCTACCTGCTAAATACCCTCATCTTTTAAACTCCATTCCTCCTGTTTGTAACAGCCATCTCCTATCTGAAGCTGGGAGAACCCTGATGACATCACTGTGACATCATCAGAGTTATTTCACCAGTCTGTGGTACAGACTCCAGACTGTGTGTGTGTGTGTGTGTGTGTGTGTGTGTGTGTGTGTGTGTGTGTGTGTGTGTGTGTGTGTGTGTGTGTGTCTTTTTACCCATCATAGAACTGACAGGTAAAAAACAAGGTCAGTAGAGGGAAACCTTCCGGCACAGAGTAGTTCACTAAAGGAGTTCACTCTCTGTCACTCAGGTTTGTTACCTGTACCCCTTCAAAAACTGGACTGTGCCCATGAACCTCCAGCTTCAACCTACAGGTGTAGCCTCCACTCATTATTCATTTTGGGATTAAGACATTCCTGAGTCTCTGACTGGCCACCTCCCTCTCCTGACTATGAAAAGGATGATTCATTTTAGTTTGTAATTATTAATAAATTAAATTCAAATGTATTTGTGTGGAACCATCTGTACATAAAAACAGACTAAAACATATTCATGCATACACAAAAATACACATACACATACAAATTGTACATATACAATGTGTTAAAGCTGGACTGAGAAGTCTTCAGTTTGGATGTAGGATCTCAGATGAGCAGATAAACTAATCCAGTCTTCAGGTCAGTCTTACCTGACAGTGAAGGTGCTCCAGGTACATGGAGGAGATGTCCTTATTGTGACCTGAGAAATCAGCTGTGATGGTAACTGACAACATGTCTGAGGAATAAGGATTGAGGAAGTACCTTCAAGTACCTTCATGTGTAACACCTTCAAGTGTAACACCTGTAATATATAAACAATGTAAATAGTCTTAGTCATTTATTAATTGTGACTGTGTCAGTGCTTTGATGATGATGAGCTTCAGGGTAGGACTCTGGTTTAATACAGATACAGAATGAGGTTAGACACACAGTGTTCAAACTCTGGTTTGTAATTCTATGAAGTAACCAACTGTACATCACATGCTGCTTTTCTCTATGGAGTTTACATTGAATTCAACATATTTCTTGACCTGTTGTAAAACAGTTCGAAAGGAGCCAAAAAGCTAAACTCTCCTCTTAGTGAACTGATACTGTAAGCTGCCCTTTGCTGCTTTGCATCACAGTCTGATAATATGAGATGTTGCATTTCATTCATCCTGACATTGATGAGGATGAGGATGATGAAGTGGAGACTGGTCAACGCGTCTTATTCCTCCAATCAGAAACATGTTTGAGCGATAACACTAGTACTGCACATGCTCAGTTTGGCCCTCTCTGCACCAGGAAGATAGAAGACACATTCAACATGCTGCTGAAATTATTGAGAAATCTTTTTGGAGGAATGAAAGTTTTTTCATCAGCTGTGGTTTTGAGCTTTTGTCTGAGTTAATCAAATCTTAATGTGGTTTGAATCATTGTGTTGACTTTTAATTGACATGACATGTCAGTGTGTTCAGCCATCATGCTGACAAGGACAAGATGGTTGCAACAAGTCAGCTACAGTATGTTTCAACATTTTTTGTTCTAAATAGTCAATATATGCAGTTAATTATGTCACATAGCACAACACATGCAACAATTACTGCTCATTTAATCCATAAGAAAATACAAATAAATAAAATAAATACATTTTGCCTGTGTTCAAAACAAAATTCAGTAACTGTTCTTTGATAAATATTACTAAATAAATAATACTAGAATTTTATTATATAAAGAAATTATAATATTATTGTAAAACAGTGCATATATTCAATACTATGCATAAAATTTAATTTAGGCTATTTTCAAAATGTTTCAACTCCCAGGGTTGGGGTCATTTGCAATATCTGAATTTATATTTCATATAGTCATAAAGGTAGATGTCCATGTGTTGTTTGATTATAAAGCAGTTCTAGTTTCTATATTAATACTATGAAAGAATCAAAGCGCTCAGTCCACAGAGAAATGCACACAGCCTGTATTCACAAACTGAGCCTTAAAACCAGCCGTCAGGACTTCTGGAACTTTGTGATGTCACCGCTCTCAGCCACGCCACAAGCCCAGCCCACCAAGCACAACCATCCAACCTTCCAGGATTTGGTTTCTCTGAGTGTTTACCTGAAATCTGCTATATTTTTAGTAGATCACTCAGAAAAGAGTCAGCCAATCAAAAGAGAGACTCAGAGCCTCCTCCCTTCTGGTTGGCCCACTGATCTAGAAAGATGTAAAATTATACTAAGATGGTTTTTGGTTCTTAAAACCACAAATATATTTTCTTATGGATCAACACTTCAAATAAAACACAGGAGAAGAGGAAAATATGGAGCTTTAAAAGGAAAGCAGTGGATTTACCTGCAAAACTGAAGGAAATTAGCATGAAGCTTTGGTGAAGTGTCATAAAATTCACTTTCAACCATCTGCACGAGTATCCCTGATCCCTCTCACTGACTCTGCAGCATGGCATCACAGACATGGAACCTGAGCAGAAGAACCTGTTTCCAGCCCAGAACCCTTCTGCTCTGAGGGCAAAAACCACTTCAGATCCACTTCAGGTTGTTTTGATTAAAATGAGTTCACTGGGCTGTTTCAGTGTTTAATTGTCATCATTTTAATATCAAAGACAATATCATGTTGATCTGAGGTTTCAATACATCCAAGATTTTCTGGAAACTGTCAACAAAGTCAATAAATAACAGAAGGAGTCCAAATGAAAACAACCACAGCTGGAGATACACAGTACTGACAATAGATCAAGCCATTCCTTAAGTCATAAATAAACATTCAATATTCATACAGACTTTTTCAAAACAAAGAAATCAGCTATCAGTCTAGTACATAGTTTAAAACAGCATTCAGAGGAGCTACAAGTAGATTTATGTACAGGTTCTGTTCATATTCACATTCTATTAAAATAATCCATTCAAATTAAAGCCTCCAAATGTTGGTAGTAAAAAGAGCAGAGCTCACCCAGACAGTCTGTCTCTGAGGGAGGGGGGGGGGCCGCTCTGTGTGTGTGTGTCTACAGGTGTGTGCTGTAGAAGGCGGGGGCAGCATAGCTCTGCGTCCCCAGCATGAAGGGGGACAGGACGTGGCTGGCGGTGAGGAAAGGCAGCTGGACCAGGCTACCAGTGGGGGGGTGGTGGTGGCCAGCATAGCCAGCGTGCATGGCCAGGTGCCCGCTGACTGGGGGGGACGGACTGAGAGGGCTGAGGCTGCCCAGGCCTCCTCCCGCTCCTCCCCCTGCGCCCCCTGTACCTCCCGCTCCTCCAGCGCCAGTGGGGGCGGAGGTGTCGGCACCGGGGTTTTGTTTCTTCCACTTGGTCCGGCGGTTCTGGAACCAGATCTTGACCTGGGTCTCAGTGAGGGAGAGCGACAGGGCCAGGTTGAGGCGCTCACACACTGACAGGTAGCGTGTGGACTTGAACTTGTTCTCCAGCGCCACCAGCTGCTCATAGGTGAAGGCAGTCCGGGCTCTACGGGGCTTCCCCGACTTGGAGTCTGAGCCAGAGCGCTTCCTCTTAGGCTTGACCCCCTGGGCCCCGTTGGTCTGGGCGTTGGAGATCTGGCCTGCAGGCCCTCCTCCTGGGCTCTTGGTGTCTCTGGAGGGGTCTTGGTGGCTGTGCTGGCCCAGGTCCCTCTCTCCGTTACTGGGCAGGGCAGAGCTGCTCTCCTCACTGCTGTAGGGGCCATCTGGAACGTCTGAGTCCGGGGTCCCGGATCTGTGGTAGTCATCCTCATCTGGGCTTCTGTACACAAAGCCTTCCTCTGGAAACACACAACACAGAGAGAACCTGTATGAAGTAAATAGCCCTCAGCTGTCAGAGATAGAGCCAGTGTGGGCTGAGCTGCAGTTCCTCTAAGCACCACTGAGTGCTGCTGCACAGCAGCCACAACTGCACCACTGAGCCACGTCTGTATCGGCAAACACACTGAAGGCCAGTGTGTGTGCACAGATTCACCATGTGAAAATAATAATTATTAAAGACATTAAATTTGCATTTATAATTCATCAAATGACTCCACATTAATTACGACACATCGTCCTGGGGCCTTCAAAAGCTCCTGAGAGCCACCAGGTGGGAATATGTGTGTTCTTGCCTCATATACACAGATCAATAATCAATAATTAAGAATAAAAACAGAAGTATAGAAAGACAAAAAAAGAATAAAGAATAAAATAAAAAGGCAGTGGTTGAACTGAATGAATGAATTCAACAGCTCATAACCAGCATTTAGTCAAAGTCCTGACTGAGAGTAAAATTTCTCTGTTTTCAAACGTGGAGAGTGATCAGATCAACAGGGACTCTGACTCTGCCTTAGGGTCTGGACCCTCTAACTGTGGGCCCTCACTGAGGCCCCTGCAGTGACTCCCTCTGCTGGTTTACACTGTGTCAGCTACAGTCTGACAGTTTGATTATATTTATTTGACAACATATAAACCAACTGAAAAAACAGTTTAAAAACTAAATTTTGGCAAAAAATATTAAATCATCAGTAAAACCTCAGCAGACTCTCTGGTCATCACAGCTGATAATAACTAACTATTATTCTAATTATTAAATACACAAATTGAAACAAGGCTTTAAGGGCCCAGAAGGTCTGGAGCCACAGGGCCGCTGCCCGGCTCATAATCAAGGATCAGATTTCACATGTCTGAAACCAAAAATCTTAAAGAGGAGGTTAAATCTGGAAAAAGATCATTTTAAAAGTGGAATAAAATCATTTTATTTTTAATGAGACATTTTCCATCCAAACCTTCCTCAGTGAGTCAGATGGTTTGTCTGAAAAACACAGTGAACCAGAGTAAAGATGTTTTCACTGAGCAGCTCAGACAACTTCAATAGGAGAAGAAAAGAAATATGAAACACACCGCCATCAGCTGAGGATTGAAATATAAAAACAAACATTTCAACCACACTGAATTTATAAATCATTTTTCATTTAGTCACAAATTTAACTAATGACTTCATTAAAAAGTGAAAGTTTTATCATTAAATTACTTCAGTTTAAAAATTTTCAGACTGATTTATTGTTTGAACTTTACACACACGCACACACTTTAGTTTGATCGCAGATATTCTTCTTCATGTTGTTATTTAGAGAATCAAACAGTGCAGGTTCAGTGTTTGTAACAGCTCAATGGTCATGGTGAATTTATTTTAAACAGAACCGACCCAGATTCATCCTAAACATGTTCGCAGCTTCTTTATGTTTTAATTCATCCTATCAAAGTCTGACTGAGACTATATCAAAACAAAAATAATATCAACATATCTTTGACCAATAATTATCATTAATAATTGATAATAATGTCCGGGAAAAATATTTGTTTCTGATTTTTACTAAATATAAAAGGATTTTTGCTACTCTACATTTTTATTCTTTTTATTGGATAAAAACAGTATGACAAACTGAAGCTCATTTATCTAAAAATGTGTTCATGATGTGAACGAGTGATTTTGAAAGTGTGATGAAGAGAAAAGATGAAGGTGAAGAACAGAAACAGACGTTGATCAAAGCGTAAATGTAAATGATTACTGCAGTTAATGGGTCACGCGCGCACGCACGCACACACACACACACACACACACACACACACACACACACACACACACACACACACACACACACACACAAACACACACACTGCTGGTTGAAACAGATATTCACCAATCAATAATACCGATCACACACGTGCGCGCCCACCTCGCGCCTTTTCTCTTTTAATTGAGTGTCAGTTAAAGGCCGCGAGTTTTTCTGTCACCATCACACGCGCACACACACACACACACACACACACACACACGCACACACACACACACACACACGCACGCACGCACGCACGCACGTCAATAACCCGGGATTTAGACTCTCCGGAAATCCTCCAGTAGGCCTAAGTAGAAATACAAACGGACTGTTCCGTCGTTAAATTGGATTATAGGCCTAAATAATGAAAAATCTGAAGAAAGTCACATTAAATCTAAACGACACCAGATAGGCTATTTTATAACATAATAAAATATTATATAATATTCCGTATTTTTAATGAATGTTGGTTCATTGAAGAGGAAGTTTCCTCGCGGTGAAAGAAAAATTAAAATAAAACCAAATGAAAATGTGACGCTGACGTTCAAGACAGGACACCAAAGAGGCGGGAAACAAACCAACTGAAACACTAATAAACACATTAAACCGGTGGGTTTAATGGACTTACTGCTTGGGTATTCCTCCGTACCGTAGCAGCCCTTGCCGGGCTCCAGGCCGGGCTCCCGCTCCCCCGCGCCTCCTCTCCGGTTCTCCGCTCCGTACCCGCTCATCTCGCGCTCTCCCCGGTGGCTCGCGTGCTGCTGGTGCCGCCGGCTGCTCGTGAACTTGTTGGGGTCCAGGATGTCCAGCACGGAGAACGAGGTGGTCCGGTGCCCGGTGGGGCCCTGACAAACGACACATCGGGATTAATCACATTATTATTATTATCATTAATATTATTTTTGTAATGAAATATTATTACTATACCAACAACAACAACAACAACATAATAATAATAATAAATTTATTATCATTATACTCAGTGGGTCTGAGCTGCTTCTTTCCGCCAGTGAAACCCTGCTGAGTGTACTGAGGCTGAGCCTCTGGACCTGCATGGTCTCTGTCTGAGATGTTTTAAACTGAGTCATAGCCTTTATTTATTAATCAATATTCATTATTTATTATCATATTATCTAGGCTATTATTTTCGGTTGTTATTTATTTTTATTATTCTTGTTATTATTACGAATTTAGAATCTTTGCCACTATTCTTTCTATCACCATGTCGTAATAATAATAATACTACTACTACTACTACTACTACTACTACTAATAATAATAATCGTTGTAATAAATAAGATACAATATAAAAATACAGAAACCACATTTTCTCCAAAATTATAACTGGAGTTACACAGAAACAGCACCGACACACACACAGACACACACACACAGACACAGACACAGACACACACACACACACACACACTATTAGAGCTCCTGTATTAATATGAAAGGAATCAGCCTCATTTGATGTATTTACTGGTCCGCTGACGGACAGAAGTTAAGACAAAGAGGAAGGAAACACTCAGTCTATTTATATTGTGTCTGATGATCAGCTTTAAAATAAAGATCTAATAAAGTGTGTTTTTTTAAAAAAAAAAAACGTTTTAAATGTTATTAAAACATTGATAATTTGTGTTTCCATAAATCTCTCACACCCATATACCCTCATCAGTCTAAACCGGTCCTCCTTCAGATTTATGTGGAGCAGAGGTCCCGGTGGTCCCGGTGGTCCCGGTGTGTGGAGCAGATAAAGGTTCAGAGAGGCTACATCCTGATTAGTCATTCATTTGTTCGTGAGGCCAGTGTGGAGCATGTCGACATGAATAATCTCGCAGTTATAATATTATTATTCTCTTTAATAATCCGGGTCCATTAACAGCTGCTGATAAGATTCACAGGGTGAACCGCTTTAAAATGATCTGAGATGAACACACATGACATAATAAACCTGATTATTCATTGAATTTAACCAGTCTGCATAAACTTGAGGAGATTCGGCTGCTCTTTAAATTACAACTATTTTACACTGAAATTTAAACTGTATTTTCGTTTGGATAATAATTTATTTAATTTGAAAGAAAATGACAGATTATATTATTTACAGCTGCTGGTCAGATTAAATTACATTATTGTCAAACTGTGAAATGTTTTTTCCCGCCGTAGAATAAAAAGTGTGTTTGACTCTGAGCGAGTTGATTCATGTTGTTTCCATCACAGCGCGGGAACAAATAAACAGCTGATTTTAATGATGTTTCTCTGTCTGATCATCAGCCGCGACATGCCAAGAGCTCCTACACAGGGCCAACAGCGGCCAACACAGGGCCAGCACCGGGCCACCAACGGGCCGCGGGACGTTTTACATGACAAGAAACCACACTATCATCATCATCATCATCATCATCATCATCATCATCATCATCAAACTCTCCCTCTTTAAATTCACTTCCTTTTCTCAGAGTCAGTGGATTTTCGCGGGTCTTGTGCTGACTCTGAAAGCTCTGTGGTCCTGGTTCTGGTTCTTCATCAGGTTTTTATTTTGGACTTTACACCTGCTCTGTTTTATTCATCCCGCTCTCTGTCTGCTGCTCCAACGTCAACTCCGCCACCCCGAGTACAAACCCACCAACTTTGTATCTACCTGCTGTGGCGGCGCTAACACCGGGTTTGTCGGCGGAGGTTCCGTGTGGTTCTCCACGGCCTGAGCATCTCTGCCTCCGACCACCGCGTTAGAGAAGAGCCGCTTCTCTCCGGCTGCAACTCCGTCCAGCATGTCCCCGCTGTCCAGGCCCACCACGGTCTGGATCCCGTCCCCGTCGGGCGCCGGTATTGCTCTTTCCCGGCTCATCACGGGTTGGGTCGCGTCTGCCACGGGCCCTGCTACGGCTCTGTCCCGGCATATCACGGTCTGGACCCCGTCCGCTCCGGGCCCCGGTACCGCTCTGTCCCGGTTCATCACGTCACTCGGTCTTTCCCATAAATCGAGGATCCGGATTAAAAAGCAGGAGCCGTGTTAACAGAAAAGTTTCCGCCTGACGCGTCTTAAAGGGACAAAACTTCACAACACAGGCAGGTCAGCATCCAGGGGGGTCAGGTCTTCAGCCCCTTAAACTTTCCCATAGGTCAGAGTCTGGACTGATGCGGGTCTAACCGGATTCCGGACGCGGTCTCGTCAAAGTTTAAACTTCTTCCTCTCTCCGGTTCATCCTCCGCGTCCAACGCGGCAGCGTCTGCGCTGATCTACCGTGCGTCTGCGTGACGGCGCCACTGTCCCGCGGTGACACACACATAAACCGCTCCGCGTCCCGACCTCCAGCCCCGCGCACTCTGTCTGGTCACCGGTGGGTGCGCGCTTTGGAGCCCGAGAGCAGTTAAAGGCGGGACGGAGCGGATCTATCTCTCTAATGGTTAAACCGTCTCTCTCGCTCTCTCTCTCTCTCTCTCTCTCTATCTATCTCTCTCTCGCTCTCAACTCCTTTTTTGGTCTTCAACCGGCCCCTCGAGGACCCTCTATCACACACTCACGTGTGCGTGCGTGCGTGCGTGAGTGTGTGTGTCCCTCCTTATTTATGCATTCCTGTTCAACTATGCGGCTTGTAATTGGCTACAAATTAATCCCACTTCCACTAATAGTCTATTATCTCGAGTTGCACGCGCTGCGCTGCACGGTGCAGTCCGGGCCGGGCCGGGCTGGGCCGGCTCGCGCTCCGAGCACCAGGAGAAACAGATAGAGAGCTGGGGGCGCGCTGGCTTGTCAGTTTACTGTGTGATTGTACACGTTCCTCAGCAGGTGAGCACAGGTGGCGGGCAGAGGGTCGGAGTGGCTCTGCTGTGTGAACAACCCCGCGCTGGACTTGATGTGGAGCTGATGCGTCCACATGAATGCAGCTCTTATCTGGTATGCAGATTCCAGGGCAGGGCCCCTCCTCAAAACTCAATTACGAGCAGAATAAAGCCGGTAATGTCCCGCTGCAGTGAAATATTGATCCCTAATCCTCGGCAGTCATTACTATGCCAGAAAATAATAGAGCACAGAATTGGATTTTGATTTAACACACGACGTGTTTATTCTAATGCTCGGGGACTTAATATTCCGTTGACTCTCATTGTGAGGCGCAGAGGAGAGGACCGGTGATGAGGCTCTGCCGCCACTTTTTATATTGCTGTGGAACGTATTAGAAAAGAGAGAGGCGGCGGGACATCTCCCCTGTCCTCCCCCCGGCCCTGATACACAAGGTCAGCTCCATGTAATTGCCTTGCTCAATGATCCTTAGGGCGACGAAATTAAAAGTTGAGCAAAATAATGACTGAAACAATGAGACATGATTAGCCAATCAGAGAGTCGAAGCCATTACCAGCCCTTTGATCTACTTCCTGTTTCTGGCTGGAAGCTTTATGGCTTTATTTTAAAACAGTCAGTGTTTTAACTTTATTAAACATCACAACAGCTTCTTCACCTTGGAAAATATTAGCATTTTTAGAAGTGGGAGGAAACTATAAAGCAGAACCGAAACACACAGAGAGACAAGAGGAGCATCAGTCAGGTGAGTGAGGAGCAGGTTTATCAGCAGGTGACGTCCAGTCAGGCCGCCCGGGACCCGGACCAACGCGGATCCTCTGAGAGTGAGTATATCCCAGGACTGTCTCATCACATTGAAGACAACAACCTTACACTTGAACAGGATGTTCAAACATTAGTCTGACCTCATCCATACCACGTCTTGACGTCACAGTCACATAATGACGTGCGGTTTGAAACCTACAGAGGAATATAATGAATCTAATGTGCAGCTAGTTTCAAGCTATAGGCTTATAACAATGAACGAATAGTAACAATGATAATAATAATAATACAAGATGAAGAAGTCATTAATAATGTAATAATTTTAAATGAAAGACATAAAATAATGCAATAATACAAAAATATAAAACATTGATAATAAAGGTCCATCACAAAATATACTAGTCTGCAGTAATGGTAAATGGTGTGTGTGTGTGTGTGTGTGTGTGTGTGTGTGTGTGTGTGTGTGTGTGTGTGTGTGTGAAAGGTTGTATTATAATCAACTAACTTAAAGTCAGCTGCAAAATGTCTCAGCAGTGCTCTAAGTGCACACACACACACACACACACACACACTCAGTGGCAGTTCCCACAGTGTGTGCCAGCAGCCTCCCCTCTCTCCCTGTGTGTGTGTGTGTCTTGTGTCTATAATTATTCTAATGAAGGTTAACGAGCTCTGCCCAACCTCCTCTTTATTAAATTAATCTCAGCCTGTAATGAATCATAATTACTATAATTAGCAGCTTGAGCTGCCTGATGTCTCAGTGGTGACTGGTCAGAGGAGGTGATGATGATACAGACACCTTCATCACACCTCAGCCTGTCTCCACCCACTGTCCTCCTCTGATATGATGCTTTGTTATTATTATTATTATTATTATTTGATTGTGGGCTGCATGAATATACCTTCATCTTATCATTATTATTAGTATGATTTTTGATGTTTTCCATGAGAACCTGAAAGTCAGAAACCATAACATATTTATTAAATTTATAATATTAGGCCTATCTAATGACATTACACTGGGAATCAATTACAACCAAATTCTTTATAGATGGTTCCATTACATTTATATTTCATCTGTTATATATACTCAGATTCAAAAAATCCCCTGTTACATACTTATCAACTGAACTATGAGCTCATAATTATGATTAATGATTATGAGTTACATGATGCATCAACACTAAAACATTAGGCAGTTTAGAGCCAGAACTTCCAATACAGCTGATACTGTACATTACAAACAAAGAGTTTTCATATGATTCTACTGTCAGTCGTTGTCAATCACTGTTGCAGCAGCAGAATCGCAACAAGCAGCTTCACTATCACACTGTATTTCAGTGTTTAGAGATTTAGTGTCTCTCAGTCTAAATGTTGTTTCTTATATAATTAAAATTACAGTAGGTTTTCTAAATGTTACAATACTGACAGAAAATGTCTCAGTCGAACACACTGTCCCTAATTATCCTTATTAAATTTATAGTTCAAGTGATTAATCCAAATATTATTGTAATCACAATATGACCAAGTGTGTGACAACAGACCTTTATTAATGTGATATAAATGCATGGTGCTACAGTCACCGGCCTACAAATCATGTTCTCCAGATGTAAAGGGACATGATTGTTTGGTATAAGACCAACAATAATCACATCATGATTGTTTTTATATTTTTCTAAGTGAAAATAAAATGTAAAAGTGACCTTTCCTATTAGAATTATGACTCATATCACAATATGTGTGAAAATAATCACAGTATCATTTTTCTTGTTGAAATAATTATTTCCTGTTTTCATGCGTCTTCCTCTTCCAGTGTCTCTGTTTTGTGTCTTTCCAAGGTTCTGTGTTTTAGATTACCCCCCCCCCCTTCCCCATTATAGGAGTAATAGTCCCCCATTCTCCACTCACACACACTTGACCCACGCACACGCACACACGCACACACACACACACACACACACACACACACACACACACACACACACACAGTCCCACCACAATACATATCCACAGTTCGACACTCAGATAGCATCTGACCTGAAGAATTAATTAAATATGATAGCTGATTAAAAATAGCATAACTAATAGTGTAATATCTCAAGCTGTCGTCTTTAATAGTCAACATTGTGTGTGTGTGTCTTATCTGCTGCAGACAGACGCTCTCACTATTGATTCCTGTTCATTTCAGTTGTCAGGCAGAGACCACTCAGCTCATCTGGAATCATTACACTCCACTGTCTGACTGTCTCTCTCTCTCTCGCTCTCTCTCTCTGTCTCAGTCTGACTGAGTCAGTCCCTCTCTCTGTCTCTCTCCGTGTCTATCTCCCTCTCTCTGTCTCTCTCTCCGTCTCTCTGTGTCTATCTCTCTCTCTCTGTCTTGCTCTCTCTGTGTCTCTCTTTCTGTCTGTCTCTAACTGTGTCTCTCTCTCTCTCACTCTGTCTCTCTCTCTGTGCATCTGTGTGTGTCTCTCGCAGTCTCTGTCTCGCTCTCTCTCTCTCTCTCTCTGTCTCTGTGTGTGTGTGTCTCTCTCTCTGTCTCAAATTCAAATTCAAAATAGCTGTATTAGCATGAACAAAAACATGTTATTGTTACAAATGATTAAAATATACATACAATACAATAATTATTAAATGTGTCGAATACTGATACAGATTTAGATTTAAAAGATATAATTTAATTCAATATAATGTAGCACAGTTTTATACATTTATATATATACAATCATTTAATACCATACTGATGTGTGTTTATGGCGATGTTATTGTGAGTCCCTCAGGCTGTGGCAGGCAGAGACATATTTAGCTGCCAGAGGAGTTGCTGCTCCTTCACCCAGGAGAACTGACACTTTCTCCTCTGGGGTTAATATTTGGAAGTTTTTTAATTTTTTTGGTTGGTTCTCTGCAGTGGAGGTCTCTCCATGCAGAGAACTTGTCACAATGGAGGAGGAAGTGCATCTCTGTCTCTGCCTCTCTTGTCAAACAGTGACCACACATGCTCCTCTCTGGGCAGCCATGTCTGTTTGTATCGTCCTGTTTCTATTGGTAGTTGGTGGTCACTGAGCTTGTATTTGGCCCCTCTCTGCTTCGTATCTGACAGAGTGGAGATACTCGGCCAATTTGTATTCTCTGTTTAGTGTCAAATAACAATTTAGTCTACTTTGGGTTTTAATTTCATTTTTCCGATGTTGTGCATAAAGATTTTTTGACTGATTCATAATTAGTTTTATTCTTTTGTGTTGTTTTGAAGCCGTGCTGATGGGAGCTTGGCTGGTTAACTTCACAGTCAGCTGACTGAGGGGACTATTTTCAGGGTTCAGCTCTTGGGTCTTCAGTGCTTTGAATGCCAGTGTGTCTTTTGAACTTAAATTAAGATGTGTCCAAAATGTTAATGC